CCATGAAAAGTCTGCTCTGCCCACTGCAATTCTGGTTTATTTGGGGTACCCCCTTGTATATATCACTACAATTATTTGAATAGCCCTTAGAGCAGCAGTTCTCAACCTGGGGGTTGAAAGACCCTTTCACAGGGGTCGCCTAATAGTCCTGCATATCATATTTATATTATAATTCATAAGAGCAAAATTATAGTTATGAAATAGCAAGAAAAATAATTTTGTGGTTGGGGGTCACCACAACATGAAGGACTGTATTAAAGGGTCGTGGCATTAGGAAGGTTGAAAACCACTGCCTTAAGCGACTTGGTCACATTTGAGGCAGTTTTTAAAACTTTCGGTGTGTAGAATGCACTCCCTGGTTTGGGGAGCCTGCCTAGTGGGTCACTGAGGTGCTTTTAAAGGTCTAGCCAGGCAACCAAACCACACCCACTGCCAGCCAGTCAATTCCCAGTCCCATAGGGTTTTCAGCACTAAATCTCTACAGGGGTAGACTACCATATCTTTCTCCTATATAATGACTGCTGAGTTCAAACTACTTCCCACTTGGTTAACAGCCTAGCGCTTTACCCACTGCCACCAATGTTCCCTTTAGCCAGATAGGACATACTTAGATTTTTGTTCCATCTGTGTTGTATTACATTACAGATACTATATTATGTTGAGCAGATAAACAGATTCATCAACTTAGCACTGACTACTGTTAACATTTCAGTGTGTGTTCTTTCTGATTGTGATTTGAGTGACAGTTGACAGCACATTGGTTTTCCTTTCAACAGTTCACACACATTTTGTTGCAAGACATTGATTGCAATCCCCACAATGCAACATCACTCTTATCACCTCCTCCTCTGGTTGCCATTGTCTTTAACGTGTCCCTTCCTGCCTTCTGACCTTTATCCCTGGGCAGGTGCTGCTCTTTTTTTAAATCATTTTATTAGGGGCTCATACAACTCTTATCCCAATCCATACACACATCAATTGTGTAAAGCGCATTTGTACATTCATTGCCCTCATCATTCTCAAAACATTTTCTCTCCACTTAAACCCCCGGCACCAGGTCCTCGTTTTTCCCCTCCCTCCCCGCTCCCCCCTCCCTCATAAGCCCTTGATAGTTTATAAATTGTTATTTTGTCATATCTTACCCTGTCCGACGTCTCCCTTCACCCACTTTTCGGTTGTCCATCCCCCAGGGAGGAGGTCACATATAGATCCTTGTAATCGGTTCCCTCTTTCCTACCCACTCTCCCTCTACCCTCCCAGTATCACCACTCACACCACTGGTCCTGTAGGGCTCATCCTCCCTGGATTTTCAGTTCCTATCTGTACCAGTGTACATCCTCTCGTCTAAGCAAGGTCGAATTTGAGTCGTGGGAGCGGGGAGGAAACATTTAGGAACTAGAGGAAAGTTGTATTTTTCATCATTGCTACATCGCACCCTCACTGGCTCATCTCCCCGAAACCCCTCTGCAAGGGGATCTCCAGCGGTGCTCTTTTGTTCTTATATGGCTGATTATTCGTAAAGTGTGCACCTCCTTGATGTAATTGTTCACCCTATAGACTTGTATTGGTTGATGGAGCCATGGGGCAGAGTTTTAAGTTTCAAGCATGAAGAGTGACTTAGGGGCCAAGGTCTTGGGTTCTGCCGATCTCGTGTCAGGTCATGAAGTCTGGTGTGTGTTTTTTTAAATTTTGAGTTTGGTTTCATATTTTTCTCCCAGTCCATCCAGAACCTCTTATTGTGATCCCTTTCGGGGCCATCAGCAGTGATTGCTGGGACCATGTGGTTCTTCTGGTCACAGGGTCTTAGACACTGAAGTTCCTGTGGTTCATTAGCCCTTTAGACTAATTTCCATTCATCTTCGCTTTTCTTCACACTTTGCACAGGACTGGGAGAGACCAGTAGATAACTTAGATGTCTAGGGTGTTTTTTCCCCTCTTAGGATGGTTTTATGTATATTTTTATATGTGAGATCATATTTTTACATAATTTTGTAACTTTAAAACAAATAACCTTATTTCCACAGCACAAAAATAATCTTAATGCAAAAAACCCACTGCCATTGAGTCAATTCTAACTCATAGCAACCCCCTGAACAGAATAAAATTGTTCCTGTGGGTTTTCAAGACTAAATCTTGAAGGGAGCAGCTATATTATACGGATGTTCCACAATTTTAAAAAACAATCTCTAGTATTTGAACATTTAATTTCTAGGTAGTTGTTAGTAGAAACAAGATGGTGATAAACATCCCGGTACAGCAGCATTTTGTGTTTTTGCACACTATTTACATTAGTATATAAATTCTAGAAATTAAGTTGTTAGGTCAGGTTAAAGGTTTTAAGTTATGTTAGGTGGTACATACTTATTGCTGACTTAGGTTAATGGCGAGGCTGGGTTTCATTCTGCAGTGCTATTCTTATAAGAAGATAGGTTTGAATTTGGATTTCCAACTGTGTCCCAATGTTTCTGAAACCTGGCACTTGATACAAAAGTTTGTAGAAACATCTCCCATACCCTAATGAGTTCTTGTCCCACAGCAGTGTCCATGGACTCTAACGGAGACCAGCGTAGGCAGGAACTGGAGGAGAGAACATTGAATCTTTGTTGTGGTTGTGGTTGTTGATTCACTATTTTATGGGAAGCGCTCCAAGAAATTTGTTGTTGTTGTTTCTGTCCCCACCCCACCCCCATGACTGCTTAAATTGATTTCTTTTTTTTTTTTTTTTACTAAATAACATACACACTTGGTACAGAAATAAAAAGCTCTTATGTTTTCCACAGATCTATAAGTAAGAAGGATAAACTCTCTTTGTTTTTGTTTAAAAATAGTCTACTTGTACCCACAAACCATAGATGATGGGCACACGGTGTTCATCGAATGCTTCCTCGTCTTTGCCCTTCGCTGCAGGGTCCTCTGTTACAGATAGCAGTGTCTCGTTTTGTTTGGTGTGTGTATGAAGCTTTTTTCCCCTCTAAATTTTATTTAGTTTATTGAATTGTATACACAGTAAAACATACTCCCATTCAACAGTTTGTCTGTGTATAATTTTGTAACCTTGATTTCCTTCTTCTGGTCATGCAGCCATTCTCACCCTGCTTTTCTGCGTTGTTCCTCTCCCATTAGTATAAACCAGGGGTCCTCAAACTTTTTAAACAGGGGGCCAGTTCACTGTCCCTCAGACCCATTGGAGGGCTGGACTATAGTTTAAAAAAAACTATGAACAAATTCCTATGCACACTGCACATACCTTATTTTGAAGTAAAAAACAAAACGGGTCAAAAACACCCGGTGGGCCGCATGTGGTCCGTGGTCTGTAGTTTGAGGACCCGTGGTAACTCACTGCCCCCAGGGTTCCTATTTTTGAATTCCTCAAGTTGCTGTTGTCAATCTGACCCCATATAAATAGTTTGTAATGCTCATAATGCTCAAGGCAGATTTTTTGTTGCTAGTTAAGCTAAACTATTAGTTTTAAGAATACTTCAGGGTTATATTTGGTTTGAGGTTGAAAGGGTATCTCAGGGCAGTAGTTTAAGGATCCATCCTGCATGACGTCAGAAAATCTAGAGGCCTTGAGAATTTGAAATTCTGTTGTGCATTTTCCCACCTTTGATCAAAATGTTCAGTAATAGTAAATGGATGCCATCTAGCACTTCTGCTCTGATAAAGGAGGCCATTGTTCATAAAGACACTTAGCTGTACATTGCATGTCCTCCTCCTTTACCTGATTTTACTTTTTCCTCTTTGAACCCAGGCACTGCGCTAGGAACTAGGAAATCAAAAGGTTGCATAAGGCCAGTTACTGAGTTGTCAAACCCATGGGTGTTTGGTTGTACACAAGCAGCCTTAGCAGCTACTTTCTTCTTTTTGTTGTTGTAACAAACATATCACACAACTTTAGCCAGTACAACTTATTTATAGGCATGCACCTTACTGACAGTAACTATAATGATTAACTGTACTACTCTACCTTTAATTAATGTGATTTTCCCCATCATTGTTAAACTCTCCTTTACCCTTCCTCCCGGCCCCTGATAACCAATGGTTTCTGTCTTGTACATTTGCCATTTAAAAAATCTTTCTATGTAAGGTCATACTATATTCTTTTGTGGTTGACTTACTTTGCTCAGCTTTGTCTTCAAACTCCCATCTAGTGCTGCAGTGAACATTGGCCTGCAAGTCTGAGACTCTGCGTTCAAGTCCTGTGGGTATTGCTGAGGTGGCTGGCTCGGGTGGTAGTTCTAGTGTTATTTTTTGGAGAATCACCACACTGTTTTCCACAGTTGCTGTAACATTTAGCCTTCCTCGAGCCAGGCATAAGTTCCAACTTACCTTGAATCTTCTCCAACCTTTGTGATTTTCTGGGTGTATTACTTTATCTTACCATCTTCTGGGAGTGTAATGGTCAGTTATGCATTGAGCTGCTAACTACAGTGTTCTTTCAAATCCACCAACCACTCCACAGAAAAAAGGTGAGGTTGTCCTGTAAAGATTTAAAGTCTCAGAAACCCAAAGAAGCAGTTCTACCCTATCCTGTAGAGTTAGAATTGACTTGATGGCAGTGTAGTTGGTTGCAAGGCTAATGATGATGCTAAGTATAACAAAAGTGCTTGTGAAAATACTGCAGCTTATGTCAGTTAGATAAAAAGCACCTAGTTTGCCAGAAATGTTCCATGTGAAAAAAATTAAGTCCCATTAATAATCTAAACTGTCGATTGTTTATTGAGGTAGCAATGCTCACTTAATTTTATGTGGAGCAGTGTAGTGCACTGTAAAGAATGTAAGGAAAGGACATAGCTAATCCTTAACAAAAATTGCCATTATAGATTGGCATATACATTATTCACATAAGATAGAATATGGACAGAATGTTTTTAAAACTGTATAGGCAAATATTTATATAATTGAGATTTGGTTTTAACAGTATAATCTTATTAGAATGATTTAGAGGAAGAAAGTTGGAAGAATTCACCTGAAATGCTTTCATTGTCTTCTCGTTTTAGGATTGCATTTTAAAGACGATTTCTGTGCTTGAGTGTTCTTGTGGAAGATTAGCCCGTTTCAAGAGGACGTGGAGCCGGTCCTCACTTTGAGGAAGAAGTGGCTTGTGCTCCAGAAGCCACTTCTCATCTTAGGATCCACCCAGCATGCCTAATCAAGGAGAAGACTGCTATTTTTTTTTCTATTCTACATGCACCAAAGTAAGAATGAGTCTCTGAGCCAGCTCTTACCTAGTGTCGAGGGTAAAACCATCCTAGCATCTTAGATTGGTTTTACATTTTCTTTTGCTCAACTATTATCTACAGTGCCTTGAAAAACTCAGTGTGCCACTCTAATTTTACCCTCTTTAGTGAACTCGTTTCCCTATGTTCCCTACCAGGGAAAGGCCGTGCTGTGCCATCACTGAGTGTTTGTTCGTCTATGGTATTAATCTGGAGTGCCTTTGAACTGAGTGCTGCTAACTTTGGTTGTGTTTACTTTGTCTTTAATGAACAAGTGGGTTGGATTATATAAATAACTTGAAATCGTAATGGGTTGAATTTCACTTAATCACCCCCCACACACACACACCCTGATTTCTTCCTAACTATTAAGCATGCATTCCATTTAAGAAGAGAAAGCCATCTTCCTAAATATGCATTTGCAGCTTCTGTGTTACACTTCCTGTTTTTCTGCAGTGCTGTTTAGATGTATAAGGTGGCTTCAAAAAGTTTGTGGGAAAACGCTATTATCTGTTTTTATTTTTTACAGCCTTTTTTTGCCATTTTAATTCCATTTTTATATGAACTTTTTGAAGCCCCCACCTGTCTGCTTTTTTCAGTTTTTTCTTTGTGACTAAGTCTGTAAATATATATGTTGTGGTTATAAAAACTTTCTATTGGAAACACGGCAACTTGCCCAACAGCCTCATTGTGTTTGTCCGATGCACAGAACATGCAGTGAAGCATGTCATTATAAAGAATCCTAATCTCTTTACCTTCTGGTTTTCTAGCCAAAGAAATCAAGGTATATGAAAGATATTAGTGATAAACTGTGGACTTTATTGAAAGAGTGCTCGTGACTCCCACGTGTTCCCCACCATCTCCCAGTCTCTCGGTCTGTGTCACCCATGTTGTCAGCTCAGATAAAAGGCACTGTCAAGAAGCACATTGAAGAACTAAGAGGTTTTCGTCCTCAGACTGTTCTTCACCCATCTCAGTTGGTTTCTGCCTTGCCTGCCCTTGCTCAGGCCTTTGTGCTTATCCTATGAGGAGATTCTTACTGTAGACATTCCACCTATGTACTTTGATGCTTACCTTGTGCTTCTCTGTCTTTACAGGGTGACAGCTGCCCATTCCGTCACTGTGAAGCTGCTCTAGGAAATGAAACTGTTTGCACATTATGGCAAGAAGGACGTTGTTTTCGACAGGTGTGCAGATTTCGGCACATGGAGATTGATGTAAGTTTTGAGTTTGCATTCTTATAAGTAGTTTGGGGTGATGAGTAGCCCAATAAAAACCAAAAACAAAAATATTACATTTTACCATGTGGGTTGAATTTTGATTTGTTAATGATTCAATGAAATGTGTGTCTTGTTATGCTGCTCATTTAATGTCTAAATGTTGAGCATAAACAGGTATTATCCTTCTACAAGGCAGTTTGGTAATATATCTAGAGCCGGAGCGCGCGCGCATGCGCGCGCGCGCGCGTGTGTGTGTGTGTGTGTGTGTGTGTATGCACGCACACACATACAGGAAGTATCTGTGTATCTATATTTATTTTTGGAAATGATTTCACACTGAAAAGTTTCAAGTGCAGTATTAACTAACTCTCACCCCACCCCTGCCCAGCTATCTGAGAGTTAACTGCCGTGCCAATCACCTGCAGATAGCTTCATGAGTATTTCCCACAAACAAGAGATCGTGTGGTATAGCCATACTATTGCCATCAAGATTAGAAAGTTAATATTGCTCCCCCCCGTTTAATCCTTAGATTCCATACACGTCTTGCCAATTGCCCAAGTGAGGCCTGTTATAAATAGCAACACGGGTGAGTTCAGAGTCAGATGTTACATTCATTGTCATGACTACATAGTCTACTTCAGTCCAGAATAGTTGCTCTTTCTTTCTTTGCCCTTCATTAGCCTCAACACTTCTGTAATTACAGATGATTTATTTTACACAGCATCCCTCGATTTAGGATTGACTGCTATTTTCTCATGGCTAAATGCAGGTTGTATATTTTGGGCAAGAAGCTCAGAGAAGCCACAGTCTGTCTACTCATTGTGTGATAACAGGGAGCATATAGTTTTATTTCCCTGTCACTGATACTGCTAATTGAAATCACATGATTAAGGGAGTGTTGGCTAAACTTCTCAGCAAATCTTTTCTTTAATAATTAGTAAGTACTACTTATTAATTAACTAAGATGCTTGAGACACTGTAAATGTCCCCCCCCCCTTTTTTTATTTTTTCACCAAATGAAAATTCTTTCTAGCTCTGTATTGATGCTAGTGTGAACTCCTGGGTTTCTTCTTTTGTTCAATGTTATCATTCATTACTGTCATTTCGTTTTCATGCTCAAAGTGAGCCATAGGGTGTGGCTAGTAGTAGGAGGGCTTCCAATTGTTGTGTACACTGATGTGTGTTCCCATCTTTCTTTTCTTTGATGACCTAATAAGATTTTTCAGGCTCATTTTGTACTTTTCCTATTCCGGCCTTGGAATCAACCATTTCTCCAAGGATCCCTGGTTCCTTTCAGTGAAGAATGTTTATAGAACTTAAGACCATGGCTGCTCCTGCTTAGTCACTGCCTCCAGGTCCTCTCAGTGGACAGAGCTGGGGGATATATAAGTGTATATACATGTTCACACTTACAGCAATATTTATTAAAATAGGTCATGAGGATGGTGCTGGTGGAGGTGATTGAGTCTGTTCTGACTCGTGGTGGTCCCGTGCTCCGTAGGGTTTCAAGGCTGGGGTCTTTTGGAAGCAGCTTGCCAACGAGTGGGTTTTAGCCTTTCAGATAATAGTATAGTGCTTTTAACCATTTGTGCCACCAGGGTTTCCTCTCCTTGCAATATGTATTGAAATTTATGAGATCACATAGATACCTCCAATTCCAAGTTCAAACAACATGGCTCTTCTCTCCAAAAGTGAGAACCCTTGTCTCCATTGCCTATACTAGCTTTACTGCTTGGTCAGCTCCCCGTTATGGAAACCACTATTGTAGCATAGCCTCTTGCTTTGCTTTCCCGCTGCTTCTTCACGCAAGAGGTTCCTATACAGAAATAGTCCTCTCGCTTTGTGTCAACTCCAGCACTCCCTGCCAGACTTCACGAGGACCCCTCCGTTACTCTGCTGAAGCTCCCACTGCCTTGCAGAGTGTTCTCCTCAGCCTGCTTGCTCTCCAGCTCAGCCCCCACTCTCCCCTCAGGGGGACACCTTGCCTTCCTCACCCGGCTTAGTCTTTGATGCCCCTCCATGGAAATACCCCCTCACCCTACCTTGAACTGGTCTGCTGCACAGAAGCCTGCTCAGGCTCCAACACTGTGTATCGGGGCAGGTTCCTGTGCATGTGCCCTCCTAACCAATCAGGGGTTCTGATGCCCGCTTTGCTATGTGGACATTGTCCTCAGCCCTGTCAAGTGCCAGGACCCTAATCTGGGCCACCATGTGCCTTCCTCATCCAGCATGGATGCCGGCCTGCAGCCCCACCTAATGATTTTGGACTTAATCTCTTGGGAGGGCCTGGGTAAGAAGGACAAGGGTGTGTGTGTGTGCGTGTTCGTGTTCCGCGGGAGTTTGTTTACAGACTCAGGGCCTCAGGTGTTCAGCGTAAAGCGTTATTTGCACAGTCTGGGGACCTTGAACCCCTTATCCATCAACTGTTGGCTGGGAACATTCCAAGAACCACCTTATCAGATGTCAACCCAATGCTATTCTGGCAAGTAGGCCTCCTTTTGAGGATCGCAGTCTCCAGCCTGCTGTGTTAACCTTTCCTGCACAGAGGTTAATCTGGCTTCTCTCTCTTCAGACCCTCTGTGCCATCTGTACAAAAGAGGTATATACAGACCTGTAGCATAATTCATAATAGTAAAATCGGAAATAGCTGTTCTTCAGTTAAAATAAATTCTGACATAATGGCATTCTGGACAGCTATTTACAAGCATTTTAAAATGGAAAATTCTTACATATCGTTAAGAAAAGATCAACATATTTTGAGTGAAAGGGGCAAAGGGTTTAGCATTATCATTTATGGAAAAAGAATACTAATGTTTTTGCTTGCCACATGCATCCGAAAAACAATCTTGAAGTAAAAGGAGTAACTTAACAATGACTTTGTGGGGGGGCGTGGATAGAAAAGAACCATTTACTGTGTATCTCTTATCTGTGTCTGAAACATGTGCTATGTTACGTGTCAATAGCTGCATAGGAGAAGCATGTTCATATGGGGGATGTGTTGCTCAACTCAGAAACCTACAAAATTATGTCGAATTCCTTTCTTTTAAACAAGTGTGCATATGTGTGTTTATGACTAAAAAATAGAAGGTCTATATAAAATAAATGGTGCTCTTTGGGTATTTTAGCATAACAAGCATTTATTTCTGTTTTTTTAAGTTATTTTCATGTTTATGTTTTTAGTTAGAAATAAAATCCTATAAGTGTATTAAATAGATCAAATCAATGTCAACTAGCTCCAGCATAAAGAGGGGGGGACTATTAGAAACGTCATCTATAGTTTAGAATTGTTTCCTGCAAAGGAAGAACTCAGTAGAGTAAGGAGTGGCGATTAGGTTCTGGTTTGCAGGAGAAGTAATTGAAAATTGTTACGCATTCTTACCTTAAAAACAATGACAGCCATTACACCTACATTTGGGGTAAGAGGGGAAATTTAATTCTACTTTTGAAAGATAAAGATACTTGCTGTACATTTTGACTAATCAAGCATGTGGCAAAAAATGAGACCATACATTACTTTTTTTCTTTCCGAATTACCTTTCAGAAGTGTTGAATTTACTTTTGTTTCCATTAGCAGCATGTGTGCTGCCTGATTTTTCCATGCCCCAGAAAAACATGTTATCAAATGTATCAATCTCACTACAGTAGGTTTTGATCTTCAGCATTTTTTATGCCTTTAGTGCTTATTGTTTCTCTCATAGGCCTCCATATTTTAAATTTCTGCATTAATATTGCTAGTCTTTGCTTGGATTTTAAACCTTAAGCTACCGGTTGTGATAAGAGTCAACACGTGCAGATAACTAATCAAAGGGCAGTGATTTTTTCAGAAATGCTTGTTACCTCTTGCATTTTGTATTTAAGTATATAATAGAGAAAATTAGAGGAATCAGACCAAACAGATGAAAGAATTTTCACAAACTGAGTATACTTAGCTGACAGCACCCCAATCAAGAAATGGGATTTTGCCAGTGTTGTGTGTGCATTGTCACTCACTGCACCTCCAGGGCTAGTCCCCTCTGACTGCCATAGAGAAGTTGTGACTATTTGGAACTTTATCTAAATGGAATCATAGAATGTGTGTGGCTTTTACGACTGGCTTCTTGGCCCTGCATCTGGGTGGTCCATCTAGCAGTGGCTCATTATTGGACAATACTCAATGACTATTGCGATCTAGCCCTCCTGGTGCTGATGTCCAGGTGGGTGGTGTGCATTTGGGAGCTATTTTGGAACAGTATTGTTCGGACATCCCATTGGGGGGGGGGGCACGATTCTTTATAGGGGTCATTTGCAGAACCTGATGTTTGTGTGACCCAGAAGCTTATTCCCAGGTGTGCTGCAAGTATGCTTCATTAAGGGCAGGTGACCTTGGGAAGCAGATAGGCCATCTCTAGTGTGTTAAACAAGCCTTACTTTGAAGTCACTCGTAGGGTGAATTTGCTGAAAGCCTTGAATTCTTGGCTCCAAATTATCACTGCAGTTTTACTAGTCCTTCCTCTTGCCATAGCATTTTGCTGGGCAAAGTTATATAATCATCATAAGAAACCAGTTGGTTAGGGTTAGGGTAAAAAAAAAAAAGAGAGAGAGAAAAAAAGAAACCAGTTGGTCTAGCTAATGTTTTTCCTACTTTATAGCTAAGAAGACTAAAACTTCAGAGGTATAAGATGATTTGTCTAAGGCCACATGACCAACAGCACAATAAATATGTCAAACCTTGTTGCTTTTTTGCTTAGTTTTAACGACTATCATCCTACCACCAAGGTTTAGGCACTTAGGGACTCTAGGATGAGGGCAAGGAGGAAAGTATCAGAGAAACGACTCCCTTAGCACCTTCATCTCCTCACCTGGCTTAAAGTGTGTCACGTTCCACAGCAGCTGTTCTTCCTGCTTGAAAGGGTCTCACGGCTTCAGGTTTCTGAACCCTGTTACGAACTTTAACCCCCACCCCAAAATTCCCCAATTAATGTATCACTCTGGGTTTTTTTAATTTGAGGGGGGAAATGTGTTTGTCTTTCCTACAGAAAAAACGCAGTGAGATTCCTTGCTATTGGGAAAATCAGCCCGTGGGATGTCAAAAGCTAAACTGTGCTTTCCATCACAACAGAGGACGTTACGTGGATGGCCTCTTCCTGCCGCCAAGCAAAAGTGAGATGCTTGTCATTTTTAAGAAAGCTTACTGCCTCACAGACTCTTCTGCCTACTCTACAGCGAGCAGTTATTGAAGGCTTTCCCTCCAGTTGAGTCTAGATTCAGTGACTTGTACGCCATTTGCTGTAAGCCTTGCTTCTTCCCAAATGTTTCTAGCAGTGACGGTTTAATTCATTTCTCATTTTCCTACGAGACCTAGAGAAGTTTTTAAAACGTGGGTCTCCGGGCCCTGCAGTAGCAAAGCTGACCCTCCTCCTGTTTGTGAAGTCACGTTTACTGGAATGTCCATCCTCATGTCACATTCTGAGGCTGGCTTTGTGCTGCAAATGCAGGGTAGAGTGGTTGAAAACAGTGGCTTCATAAAGTTTGTGGGAAAACCCCCTCATATGGCCTACAAAGCTTAACGTATTTACTGTATAGCTCTTTACAGAAAAAAGTTGCTAGCCAGGCTGTAACCTAAAATACCACTTACACCTGACAAAAAGCTACTTTGTTTTGGGAAATGTAAATTGTAGATAAATGTTCATATGATAAAGGGTAGGAGTGCCCTGATCCTGTACTGTTTATGATACATAAACTTTCAGTTGTTTCCAAGCCCCTTTTAAAATAATTTCCTCGTGGATTTATCAGCCATTTAATGCCAAGTCTGGTGTGATTAAATTTGATGATCCCATCTTGTCACTTCTGTTTAAAGGGGGAAAGTAGGTTTTTTCCTTTATGGTTTGGGTCAAATAAGTGTTATCTCCTATCTTAGAGCTGCTACTTTGCTGAGCTCAAGTCCTATAATTTCAGTATTTAAATATGTAAAATTTAAGATCTCTGTGCACCTTGTAAGGGATCCCTGGTGACAGTGGGCTACTACCCTCAAGGTCAGCTGTTCAAATCCACCAGCCACTGCAAGGGAGAGAGATACCATCTCTGACCTAATTTGCAGTGGACCCAATGGCAGTGGGTCTGTTTTGTTTAGGCTTCTTGCATCGAGCAAGGAGCCTTGTGGCACTATGGGTGAAGTAGTCACCTGCTAAGGGAAAGGTCAACGGTCCAAACATGTCAGCCACTTCTTGGGAGACAGACATGGTAGTCTGCTGTGGTGAAGATGAAAGCCCCTGCTACGAATCAATTCAGACTCATTGGGCTCCTATAGGACAGAGTAGCACTGCTCTATAGGATTCTAAGAATGTAGATCTCTCTGGGAGCAGACAGCTCTATCTTTATCCCTTGGAGTGGCATGTGAGTTTGAACCACTGGCACGAGGCCCAACACTTAACTGCCTTGTAGAGAAATCCCATGGATCAGTAGAGTCGCAAGTTGAATTGATGGCAGTGGTTGGCTTTTGGGTCATTTTATCAGCAGTGTAATGATTACCCTTTTATTTATTTTTTAATCATTTTACTGTGTGCTCATACAACTCTTATCACAATCGATACATAAATCCATTGTGTCAAGCACATTTGTATATTTGTTGCCATCAAAACATTTTCTTTCTACTTGAGCTCTTGGTATCAGCTCTTCGGTTTTTTTCTCCTCCTTCCCTCATGAACCCTTGATAATCTATAATTTTTTTTTCATGTCTTACACTGTTGTCCGTTCCCTAGTAAGGGGGTTATATGTAGGTCATTGCGATTGATTCTCCCTTTCTGCCCCCACCTTCCCCTTACCCTCGTGGTATCGCTGCTCTCATTATTGATCCTGAGGGGTTTATCTGTCCTGAATTCCCTATGTTTCGAGCTCCTAATAGTACCAGTGTACATCCTCTGGTCTAGCCAGATTTGTAAGGTAGAAATGTAATCATGATGGGGGCGGGGTGTGGGGAAGCATTAAAGAACTAGAGGAAAGTTGTATGTTTCATCGGTGCTGCACTGCACCCTGACTGGCTCATCTCCTCCCTGCGATCAGTTCTCTTTCTTAGAAGCTTCTCGTTCTTTATATTTTGACACAACTAACTGCTTTGAGGATCCACTGAAAGTCAAAGGCTTGTTCTCCGCAAGAAGGCACCTCTTCGGCATAAAATTTCAATAATTCACAAAAATCTTGAAGTCCATACAAACTCTCTGTTCCAGGCCTAAGGGACCACTTAAGTCTCTCATTTTTAATGAGTGGAGGGACACAATCAAGTCTGTATTTTAGAAAGGTGAGGTGTACATGGAAAAGGATGCATAAATACATACTATGTACGTGTTGGTGTTAACTGCTGTCCAGTCGGCGGCACTGACTCCCAGTGACCGTGCGCAGTAGAAAGAAGCACGGTGCCAGTGCATCCTTTGCCATCTGCGCAATTGTCCCATCTTTGAACCCATTGCTGCGCCACTGAGC